AGTGGCTGCTCCTGGGGTGGTTCCCGCTTCCAGGGTTGCCATGGATACCTCCTCTCTGCTTATTGCATTTGGCCCCCCACTAACCTTTAAGGCACCAGTTCCCAAGCTCATCATTAGCGATGAGTTTAATGAAAAATACTGACGTTTGAGTGAAACAAATTAATTACTGTTACTTTGGGCTCTCACTATCTCATACTTACGGACACTTTTCTGTTCCTGACTCACACTTCCACGGCTAAACCCTGCTTTAGGGACACCCGCTTAATACGGACACCTCATTATTACAGACAGTTTGCTTTGTCCCTGGGTAAAGAAAGCCCTTAAATTTTCTCTAAATTCAACCCCTTTGGTAAAGACACTCCGTTAATATGGACTCTTTCTATTGCCTCCTCAGTGTCCTTATTAACATGATTTGACAGTATTGATAAAAACTCTAGTCAAAACAAACATCAAGTGCTATCTTTCAACATTTAAAAACAATTGAAACATATTTCATCTTTTTTATCATCATTTTTATCTTATTGGTTGGATTTCGTTTTTTTTTTCTGTAATTCACCAACCAAAACTGGTGTATTAAAATTAATGTAAGTATGAACTACTTCTAAGGTTTCTCTCTCTTGCACTGAAACAAAAATGCCATGTAAGTCATCTGTATGAATAATATTTTACAAATAATGTTATTGAGAAGTTGTGCTTGTTGTTTGATTTTCAGCTTGGTACTGAGATGGGAGTCCATAACCCGGCAATGAAAACAATGAAGACCATCATGCGCATCTTAGCAGTGGCAATGATTCCACTCACCGCACAGTTTCCTACAGTAAGTCTTTTTTATGGGTTGCAGAAGGCTGCGCCGAGTGGGCCGCATTCCCCTTCGTAAAAATTGTCCTTTAGAGCCTTAGTCTTTGGACAGAAATGTCTCAAAGTTCTTTATTTTATGACTGAATACATGTAGTATTTATACAGCTGGCAAGTCTTCTGGCCCATTCTTTCTGAATTTTCTAAATCCATCTCTGGGTGTTGTCTAACACTTATGCCACAGCGGGGGCTCATGGTGAGAGGATAACTGGCCCTAGACCTGTTTCTTTGAACTCTGCATACTTTATAGAACAGGGTTAAATAATCTAGATTTTTGTAAAACTTGCACACAAAGGACTAAAAACTAAAACTAAAACTGAAATTGCTAATTTCAGGATTAAGGCGTGATATTTACACCTGCGTGTGGGTGGGGTGTGTCAATTTCCTCAGGGTGCTGCTCTGTTTGCCATCTGGTGCTTACTATTCATAGCTATTGTCATGGGACCCTGTTTCAGGAATGGGCCTTCGACCCTTTACACTTCAGTAGGCCACCATCTAACTGTTGTGCCCTCTCACTTTCAATTTTGTTCCCATTGGCCTGATAAGGGTATAAAAAACTGACTAATATTGTTTTTGTTTCACAGGCCATCTTTTCCTACTGGGTGACTTCCAACCTTTTTACTATTGGACAAGTTGCATTGCTTAAACATCCTGCAGCAAGGAAAGCAATGGGAATTCCAGAGATGATAACCCATCCAAGTTCACAAGATCCTGGTGGTTTTTGGGATAACATGAAAGCAGGTATGTTGCCAGCCTTGCTCCCAGGGCTTTAAGGGAAGAAACCGTGGGAATGCATAGAATTTACCACAGGTAGTAAATCATGGAGTTAATTCACACATAAACGGGGAGAAATACATAATCGAGGCTGCAAAAAAAGTGACTTGTGAATATTGAAATGACATGGCACAATTACTCTTGCATCCTTGGAACTCTCTAAGCAAACATCAACTACCATGACTAGTCTAGCTAATTTTAAATTTTCCCTTAGATGTGAACTTTTATCAAAATATTTTAGTTAAAATATATCATCAGGCTTAGTTACGCTCCTATTTTGTAAGTAATTTTTGTACGTAATTTAAGTTGTATTCTTCTTTTTTTCCTGTATGTTAGTATATACTGTAGTTTATGTTGTAAAATCGCGTCTTTCCTCTAATGAAGAGGAAAGATGAAGCAAATTTTCAACCAATCAGAGGTACAACCCAGATCTGGGTAGTGACGCGTCATCAGTATGGAATTTCTGCGCTCGTTTCTCAGACGTCATTTCGCGGGGACACCAGTGGTGGCGTAGCAAAAGGTCGGCTGTTTTCTCAGGCTGATAAAGGGGGATGTTCTTTAAATCCTGCCTTTTATTTTGCAGGCTACAAGAACTCTCAAGAGGTCGCCTACATAAAGCACGCGGAGAAGATGAAACACCAAAGACAGAAAGCGCTCGGAGAAGCACCACTGGAACCCACTTATGAATTCAACCCCAGAATAAAAGCAAACATGGAAATGTTTCATGATGATGCACAGGCCAACCAACTGAACGACAATCTTGGTATCCCTGAGCAGAAAGCTTACGTGGATCCCGATTTTAAACCTAAAAGGGTAAAATTCAACCAGGAGATCTTCAGTGCACAGATGCACAGAAAAGTCAAGAAAGAACAACGGAAGAAAAGAGACCAGCTGAGGAATAGACCCGGTGCAACTATGTGATAGCACTAGAATTTGATTTCCCGAAAATTTGCGGTACTCCAAGTTTGCAGTCACATAGGTCGTTCATAACAACGTCTGGACAAGAACTTTTTGAGCACTCGCGCGAATTTCTTCCTTTTGGACCTCAACCAAGCTGGTTAAACGACTGCGCGCAACGTATATTGTGACAAATAATACCTTAAGCAACAGCGACGGTGAACGTAAGAAAGAATAATAGCGAAACGCCTTCTGGTGCATTTCCTTACGGTCACTGAACGACTTCGACGGGAATTTCGTGATGCGCCGTTTTATGGAGGTCGTGACTATACGACGGCGAATTTTCCTTTACCTTTCTGGACTTGGATAAGGTCCCTAAGAATTCAACTTGTGGAAATTAGCCTTTCATTTTGCAAATTGAGGGGAATCCTCTTTCTTAGAGACATAACTTTTCATCTAAATGAGAATTTTGTCGCTAATAAAAAAGCCGTGATCATTCAGTATGATTAGTGTAAATATTATTTTCTTAATACATTTTAGCCTTATCGCGAGCCTTGTTGACTAGAAAAAACTTATCATCCTACCGTATTTATTCTGTTAACCGCCCTGAGCGCTTATTAAATTTTCAATGAATTTTTTCTCATTCATTTTAAACGATCCTTGGGAGCTGAGGCTACCATACTTATCGATCATGTAAAGTTTTCCAATTTGTCCCTTTGAAATTATTACAAATAGCATTTTTGCAATTCTGTTAATGAACTGGACCA